CTTTGTAAATTCAAATTAGTCAGGGTGGTATTCTTGCATAGAGCCTCAGCCAGTGCTTTTCCTGCCGATTCTCCTATATTATTATTACTTATATTTAATACAGTCAGGGTGGTATTCTTGCATATAGCCTCAGCCAGTGCTTTTCCTGCCGATTCTCCCAAATTGCAACTTTGTAAATTCAAATTAGTCAGGGTGGTATTCTTGCATAGAGCCGCAGCCAGTGCATTTCCTGCCAATTCTCCTATTTTGTTGTTATACAAATTCAAATTAGTCAGGGTGATATTGTTGCATAAAACCTCAGCCAGTGCATTTCCTGCCGGTTCTCCTATATTATTATCACCTATATTTAATACAGTCAGGGTGGTATTCTTGCATAGAGCCTCAGCCAGTGCTTTTCCTGCCGATTCCCCTATATTATTACCACTTATATTTAATACAGTCAGAGTGGTATTCTTGTATAGAGCCTCAGCCAGTGCATTTCCTGTCGATTCTCCTATACTATTCCAACTCATATCTAACTCAGTCAGGGTGATATTCTTGCATAGAGCCTCAGCCAGTGCTTTTCCTGCCAATTCTCCTATATTATTCCAACTCATATCTAACTCGATCAGGGTGGTATTCTTGCGTAGAACCTTATCCAGAGCTTTTCCTGCTGATTCTCCTATATTATTATCACTTATATTTAATACAGTCAGGGTGGTATTCTTGCATAGAGACTCAGCCAGTGCTTTTCCTGCCGATTCTCCTATATTATTATCACCTATATTTAATACAGTTAGTGTGGTATTCTTCCATATAACCTCAGCCAGTGCTTTTCCTGTCGATTCTCCTAAATCACAACATTGCAAATTCAAATTATTCAGGGCAGTGTTCTTGCATAGAGCCTCGGCCAGTGCTTTTCCTGCCGATTCTCCTAAATTGCAACATTGTAAATTCAAATTAGTCAAGGTGATATTCTTGCATAGAGCCTCAGCCAGAGCTTTTCCTGTCGATTCTCCTAAATTACAACATTGTAAATTCAAATTAGTTAGAGTGATATTCTTGCATAGAGCCTCAGCCAGCGCTTTTCCTGCCAATTCTCCCAATTTGTTGTTATACAAATTCAAATAAGTCAGGGTGGTATTCTTGCATAGAGCCTCAGCCAGTGTTTTTCCTGTCGATTCTCCTATACTATTCCAACTCATATCTAACTCGGTCAGGGTGGTATTCTTGCATAGAGCCTTAGCCAGTGTTTTTCCTGCTGATTCTCCTATTTTATTGTTATACAAATTCAAATAAGTCAGGGTGGTATTATTGTATAGAGCCTCAGCCAGTGCTTTTCCTGCCGATTCTCCTATATTGCAACTTCGTAAATTCAAAATTTTCAGGGTGGTATTATTGCATAGAGCTTCAGCCAGTGCTTTTCCTGTCGATTCTCCCAAATTACAACATTGTAAATTCAAATTAGTCAGGGTGGTATTCTTGCATAGAGCTGCAGCCAGTGCTTTTCCTGCCGATTCTCCTATTTTGTTGTTATACAAATTCAAATAAGTCAGTGTGGTATTATTGCATAGAGCCTCAGCCAGTGCTTTTCCTGCCGATTCTCCTAAATTGCAACTTTGTAAATTCAAATCAGTCAGGGTAATATTTTTGTATAGAGCCTCAGCCAGGGCTTTTTCTATTGATTCACCTAAATCCTTGTATTTTAGACTCAAATCCAGCTGGAAAGTATTCGTGCCTAAAGTTCCATCACATAGTTGATAATGCAAACTTGAATCGATCGAAGTGCTATTTTCACGAAGGGCATTAATCAATGATATTATTTTAGAAATATACTGTGTGGGATAAAGTATGTCATCAAATTAAATAAATTAGAACGTACATAAATAAAAAGACATTACATACAAACGTTAAAATCATAATAAATACCTTTTCAAAACTTTTAATATCCATCGTTAATAATAAATATTCAAAATTAACGTCCACATCTATCTTAACATTCAGGGCTTTTACATACATATCAAACGCTTTTGTTAATTCATAAAAAGTGGTCTCAATTGATTTTCCCGTAAAATAGGTTCTTAAATGTGACAGTTCATCAATAAACTTTTCCATATCATGAATATTATTCAAAAGTTGCTGCATTGTAAAATAATTATCATAACTATAAAATTCCCACGTTGTGAAATGGTTCTCTTGAATATAAAATTTCATATTTTCATAAAATTTATTATCTTCATTTATTCGAATTTTCAACATATCTCGCAATTTAAACACGACAGAATAAACCCTACGTATCATAGCATCACATATTCGTCGATTATACGCCGCGAATTTGCATATATCTCTCATTCTCTCATAAGCCTGAAATATTTCGTCGACAATCGTGACAACCGATTTTAGGCTTGTTTCTTTGGACATACTGAAAGACTATTTTATCATAAATGTGAAGTCGCCAACTAAAATGATTTCAATACTTCAACGTTAAGTTTCACTTTGCACCACTGGATAA